TGGTTTCAGCATGGGGTGAGGCCATTGTGACTCCAGATATGTTCAAGGTATATATCAGAGTTTATCTGATTTGTGCATAGCTTGGCACGGTTTAGGCAGTGTTTGTTGGAAGGTCCTTTTTTATCCCGTACTGCAATTTTTCTGTATCTTTCAAAGAAATCTCTGAAGAAAAAGATTACTTTTAGATATATATTTGGGCCTGTTTTCTGAACTAGCTGTTCTCTTTTAGTGGTATCTACTTTTTTTTTCTTCATACTGGTGATTTACTGTCTTCAACTGTTGTTGTAAAATATGACTCAAATTGAAGTAATAATCTCACAGACTCTTTGTATAACGAGTCTTTTGTGTATGGATTTTAGAGTTAGCTCAACCCACTAGTACATATAATACAATGAAGCCTGTACAAGTTTAAGTGGAACAGCAATGGACCTGTAGCAAAATGTGATTAGACTTCACACCACAACAATATTGATTATTTCACCATGAATAAACATACCTAAAATTTCTGTACTTTTGTTTAGTAGAGTTTTGTAATATTTATGTGCTACATGTTTTGCAATCAACACAGAAATATTTAAACTTTTAGATGATAAGGCCTTTTTTCTTTGCTAATGTGTAGTAGAAAACAATTTCTTGCTTTGCACTACTTTTTTTTAAATGACTGCCTTTACTGTAAAACACATTTGCAAAGGCATTTGCATACTAGATCTTCTCTGATCATAGTGCAGTAACTCATCATCCTAGCAAAGAGGCTTATCTACTGTTTACCTTCAGTTGCTTCCTGTTTAGTTTTCCTGTTCCTTTTAGCCATGAGATGGATTATATGAAGAGCAGGTGTCTGACCTTCTTCGTATCACACCACGGGAGTTGGGTTGTAGGCTACTGAGCTTTTACCTAGCCTTTCCCCTCTTTTTTAGGATTTTCCTGCCCTCATCCCAAATACCATGAGACTAAGATAGACTAGGTTGTTAGTTTACAAATATTAGAGTCTCAGTCGTTTCATTATTATTCAAGATATATAAACAAAATTGACACGTCTGCATTCTTGCCGTCTTACAATATTCACTCACCAATTTGAGAAACTTTTGGTTGCCTGCGTCTTACATCTACATAGGCACAAACAGGTCTTTGAATAAAGTTTTCTTTGTTTTGCTGCAATATGATTGTTTTTTATTTGCAACCCTTGCCATTTACACTAGATAGAGGTTTTAAGAACATGATATGTAGGAGGTGGGCATTGTTATTTACTATATTTTATGCTCCATATTTTTGTACCTGTAACTATTATTGAATTTTATTTCAGATCAATTTCATGGTAAATCTTGATCACTTCAGGTCCTATCTTAAATACTGATAAGGCAGAAACAGCTCAGTGATTAATTTTAGCAATTAACCCTCCAAATCACCACATCCCCCTCAACCAGGCAATTATTGGATATCTTCTTGAGTATGAATATGTGGCCAGAGGCAGAAGGTACTGTCAGTCTTTATCACTGCCACCCTTCTTTGAATTTCTACTGGACTTTAATTAAGACTTAAAGGCATTATTTTATTTAAATGTTGATTGACCAGTGACTATGCAACCAGTACTGTTACATGAACAGAAAATCCAAGGGTGATAAAATATAAACAGAATTCATCTTCATGCAATTTATGTTTGAAAGTTTTAGAGTTTTAGGTTACTTAATCTTTACAAGTACAATGTGTTGTCTAGAAGGTAATTCAAATATGCATTGTGATAGACTACAACTTCTTCACCAAGATTTTTTTAATGTTTGATTGTTTTACTTAAATTTTATTTTCTTTTATTTGGGAGTGAAGTTTGCAAGGGCAGAGGGTGGATATAAAGGGACAGGGAGATGAAAGGGATCCAGACGCATATTGTGAAATCCATAAACAATAAAACATTGAATAAAATGATGGTGGTTGCAAGAGCAGTCTGGGGGTGTGCTTTTTATATGTAAGGAGAAAGAAAAGGGGTGAACCCTTCCACAGGAAAGTGAAGAAAGGCAAAGTGAACAGAAGCGACACAGCCTGAGCTGTGGTTCTCACACTACTGTTTAAGAGGTAGCTTCCCCTTAGGCAGTGTAGTAATTAACTTCATCATTACCAAAAGCTATACTTTGATCCTGAGGATAATCACTTGCTTATTAAGGTAAGGACAAAGTAGAGTGTGAGAGAGGAAAGTTTCCCTCTAGGAACTATGCCTTCAATATTTACAACCTCCAGGTCCTGTTTGGGTGATCTCAGAGGTCACTGAGCCTTTCAATTCCACCTCCTATTTTACTGAAAACACTGAAAAAAAATCAACTTTGCAACACCTTAGGCTTTAAAAATGCCAAATGGCAAAGTAGAGCTATCAGGGAAGGTGTTGAGGCACAATAAGATTGGAACCTAATTCTGGTCTGAGTGGAGACATGACCTTCTGATAAATTCCAAATATTAGAACATTGTACAATATTGTCTGCTCTCTTAAGAGTTAATCCGGGTAAACCTGCCTGTCAATCACCGGGCCAAGCCACCACCTTTCTGGAGGGATGATTCACGTAAAATCATGCAACGAGATGGGAGGAATAATTATCCAGTTAATGAAATAATGCACTTGCTCTTCCTGGAACACTTTCCCATGCATCCCGGGAAGAGATTTCACAGACAGAAATGTGATCCATCTGTTTTTCTGAGTACCCTGTTTTTTCCAGAGTTACTCAGAAAAAAATAACTTTTCCTTTACAAAGTTTCTTTTTCTTTTTCTTTTTCTTTTTGATACTGGCCAAAGCCTCCAATGCTTTCCCGATGATACCCCGTGCCTTCTTACTCTTTTTGTCTAAAAACTACTGCTTCTGCTTCAATCATTTTACTCTGTGACCTGCTTTCTGACATGTGGTTGCTCAATGGTCTCCATTGCTTTGCTCCTCTCAGTGTCTAACAAAATTTGCTTAAGCTTCCTTCTCAGTATCTCTCTAAGCTATTTTATTAACAAGACTTAGAACTCCATCAGGAACACCAAGTTAACTGGTAACAGTGGTGTGCGTCGTTGGTTCACAGTGGGATAATGCATGCATATTTCAGGTACACCTGCTATCAACTAGCAGGAGGGCAATGATATTAAAAATAATCACAGCAGTGGCAGAAGCTATAACAAGCATATACTGACAACGTTCATGTGCCAAGTACTTCATATGAGGTAATAATTTAGCAGTCTTAATAATCCTGAGATAGGGAATAGAATGCATTCTATTCACCGATAAGTAAGTGAAGTAAGCTGAGACAAGGTATACTTCCAAGTTCATGAAGTTAATAGAAATGTATAAAGAGCAGCATAATACCAGACCCCCCCATCACTGTATAACTTTCCTACCATTCTTTCTATTTTAATCAGGAGATGATCCGCAAAGGAAAAGAATTCAAGCATACATGTTGGAGGGAAGGGACTACTTGTTGGTTCCCAGCCGCTTAGCCCCAAAATAATCACACAGAAACTGTATTAATTAAATTAATGCTTGGCACATTAGCTCTAGATTCTTATTGACTAACTCTTGCATCTTAGTTTAACCCATTTCTGTTAATCTGTGTATTGCCATGTGGCTGTGGCTTACTGGCTAAAATTCTATCTGTCTTCAGAGAGGGCTACATGGCTTCTCTCTCACTCCACCTCCTTTCTCTCAGAATTCAGTTTACTCTTCCCTACCTAGCTCTGTTCTATTCTATCAGGCCAAATCAGTTTCTTTATTCGTTAACCAATAAAAGCAACACATAGACAGAAGGACCTCCCACACCACATACACTAATTTTATAGAGTGTATAAAATGCACATATTGCTATCAGACTTTTCACTATGCTCTTCATTAAATCAAAGTTCATTTCAACCCTTAAAATAATTCCAGTTTCTCCTTAAGATTCTCTTTGGTCTCTCAAGCTGCATCCTGTTTTTAGTTTACGTTCAGCTCTTGCAGACCCATGGATCACACACCAATTATGATTTTTCCAGAGTCCAGGGTTCACCTATAGTTCAGATGGGTCCTCTTAAATCTGTCAGTTCTCCAGCAGTCTGTCTTATCTCTGTGCCCCTGACCTAAACTTAAAGTTATCCATTCTTGAGTTTTAAAGATACTTGAACTATTCACTTTGAAGAGAATCTAGTTTTGCATGGTAGATACTTGACCATATTTGTGAGATTAAACACTCAACAGTGAGATAAACAATTAACAATTAAGTCAATACCAGAATACTGATCTTTGGTTGAATTTCCTAGTCATGACCTTTTCTCACCCTTATGGTTAATTTCTTAGTTTGTTATTTACATAAACACAGTAAAACATCAAAGATTATATACTCTGAGTTATAAAACACACTTCACCACAAAACGCAGTAAGCAACTTCAAATACTGCAGAAATAAATGAACAGGGGAGGCATAGTTATTTCATTTCCTTCCACTTTTCCCTTCCTTCCTTCCTCCCTCCCTTCCTTCTTTCCTTCCTTCTTTTCATCCTTTCTTTCTTTCCTTCCTACCTTTCATCTTTCTTTCACTTATTCATTCTTTCTCCCTCCCCTTTATCCCTCCTTCCCTTTCTTCCCTTCTTCCTTTCTTTGACAAGGTCTTACTATGATTCTCAGCCTACATTAGTCACAAACCACTGAGTTCCAACCATTCTTTGGCTTCAACCCCAGTCTCCCAAGTAGCTGGGGTCATAGGCATGTACTAGTCCTGCCCTACCCCTTACTTTTAGTTTGTGTTATATATAATCAAAATCTAAATTCCTACAGAGAAGGATATCACTAAATTTCAACTTGCACATCAACATTCAGCAAATGAAAGTATAAATTACAAAATTAAACATTATACTTATTTTGTTTCACATATATTTTATTTTATATACATTGTACTTCATGAAATCAGTTATATAATCTTAACCTTCATTTATTTTCTTCCTTTTACTTCATAGGGCCCTGATCAAGCTGATCAATATGAAACAGAACCCATCTGAGAAAACATGCTTACCTTTAAAAAAGACAAAATTTCCATCACTGTTTTCATAAACTGCATCAATACTGGGGGGTAAGCCCCGCCAGAAGTAAGTAATTTGCATGGGGTATCCATCCATCACCCTGTTGTTTCTCACTCGCCAAAACCACTGGTCCTGCAAAGCAAATAAAAGCAATGCTCAGCATTTCCACAGGCCTGGCAGCACTGGAGGGGCAATCATGCATTGCAGAGTTTTAAAGCTAAGTATAGGATTCTTATTTTCTTTCACCATGGAAAGCTAGCTAGGAAATCCCACCATCTTTAAACAATAGTGTGTGAATAAATACAGTGTCACAATACTCCAGGTTTTTCATTTGTCATTATCTTAGGACTTTCAAGATGGAGAATAAGGAGGACAGATAATATGCTGCTTGGTGGTGGGAGGTGGGCTATGATTACAGCTAATGCATGTGCATTTGATATGCATAGTTGCACTTCTACCCACACACAGAATCTCCATGCTCTAGATACTGAGACTTGAATAGAAGGGTCGTATCTCTTTGGATGCCCATGTTATAGTTGCTGTCTGTGTAATGATTGATCATCGAATGTGTCTCAAATTGGTCAGTAATGGTAGTTCTACATAAGCAAATTTATCTTGAAAATAATTACCACAGAAGATTCTACTTAGGCTAATTTTCTCTTCTACCTGCTTTTGCAAAGTGCTTAACTTGACTCAGTTTTAAATCAGGTCTCATATCTATTCTTAGTTTCGTGAATAACAGGACTTGGCTTGCCATAGCTGTTTATGAAGTTAATGAGTTATTAATTAGACTGAGCACAATGTATTTTCATATAAATCATTAATACTGGACATAAAAAGCAAAATGTAACAGAAATCTATGAAAAGTGATATATCTAGTGGTACTGAATTATTTCCAATTGAACATTTCAGAAAAAGATTATTCAAAGAGTTTTGATAGTAGAAAACGGTTATAATTTGAAAATTGTTTTCAATTCAAGAATATTTTACCTTATTTTACATTTCATTATATTTCAAATACCCACACATATAACAGAAACTATTTCACTTGAAATCAAATATGTTTACTATACAGACAAGTGCATATCACAAGTTATCTTTGATTTCAATTTCTGCCCCTCTCCCATCTGAGACACCTGTGAATCGCTTGGTAGAATGTTCACCAAACATCTGGATGAAAACAGCACAGTCTCTCTGTGCTTCTTAGGATGGATTCAGGTGTTGGCACACATTTCAGGGGGAATTATTTGACACCATGCACTATGATAATATGATGCTTGTCTCATTGCAACTTTTTCTTGTTCTAGCTATTATTGGTTATTTTCTCTACAGATGAATTATTTAGAAGCAAACAGCAAAATCATTTCTGACTCTCAATTCACATCCTATTGTTTTCCTGTCTTTTAATAAGTTTGTTACCTTGGTTAAGACACTAGTCCTCGAGTGACTTACCAACTGGTATCTAAACGTCAGTATGATTAACTTACTAGATACAGAGGGATACCTGAGGCATGGGGACACACCAACTCTCATATTGATGGTTTAAATTGTTATTTCCTCCAAATCAAAACTTTCTATAATAAAGATAAAAGGGAAGCTTTATAGACTGAAGAAGTTGTGTGTCTTTCCCCAAGGTTATATAATCATAAACACATTCTGAGGAGGAGGAAAATCTTCAGTAGAGCTGGCTGAAAATGGGAGGGAGCTCTAGGGAAGTAGCTTTTGTTCAATGTCAATCACATGGGTGATACACCTGTCTCTGAGCCACCTGTGTTTCTGTAAGTAACCACAATAAACTCATTGGTTTGCTGAACTAGAATTACGTAAAACAAATTTGTTGCTCCTGTTTTTGTGTTTTAACCTGCTGTTGGTACTTTATTTGGGATGAATGGATATTTATTTACATATACCAGGAAAAGTTACACAGCAATCTAACCTACTCCAAGAGGCCATGGTATACATAATAGACAAACTTCTCAGTATTTTTCTTTTACCAAATCACCATGAAAATGATACAAGCCATTGGCATAGTAAAAGTTTGTGATAAACAAGGAGAAAATGTTTTCTTTAGGATCCTAATGGATTAATGTAGCAAAAATTTATTTGAGAAACAGGATTTTAAAAAAACATAAGGATTATAAATAGTATGTAAAAGAAAAAGAGAGAAAGAGAGTGAGCGCGCGCGAGAGAGAGGCAGAGAGAGAGAGAAAGAAAGAAAGGAAACGATAAGAAGAGGTTTGTGAATATAGGAAAAGAAATGCAACCTGACATAATCAATGAAGCAGAAGCTGGAACTTTCCTGTGATACTATCTATCTTAGTTGAAAAGCTCTGATTTTATGATTTGTAGAAATAGTGTTTTTCATATATCCCTAGTTGGAGTATAACATTGCACAACATCTATGAAATCAACACAATTGCATATGTCAACATTATATATGTATTGTTTGTTTTATCCCGAGTGTCTTCTCTAGAAATTTACCTGAAATCAAGATAGAGTTTCTCCAATGGACAACTATAGTGCAATATGACACAATATAAATTCATACAACAGAGTTTGATTTTTAGGATCTGTTATTGAATTTCATCTGTGATATGAAAGTATGTGTGAAGGATGATAATAAAAGATCCTCATGTGTATTTACACAGTACATAGAATTATATGTTCATATATATAAAATATAGATATTGCTTATATTTGCTTTTATATACAAATGCATCTAAAGAAAATAGACACTAATTGATTAAGTGTAGATTATTAGGTGTCTTCGTTCTTTGTGATTTTTGGAAATTTCCATAAACACATCTTAAAAACACTTCATCACTAAAAATCTGAAAAGTTATAGGCAATACACAGGCCATGAAATGACACAATGTTTGCAAATGAATGTAATGGATAACCATTGTAACGAGTAAACAGAAGTTTATCAAATCTCCATTAACTTGATTTAGTAATTGGATGCTATAACTAATGTCACTGCCGACATCTTTGTTCATAAAAAGACATACACGTTATATACATATTTGTGGGGTGGTTGGGTCTTGTGTGGTCTCAGTATGCTAACTATGTAACCATGGGTGACTAGAATTCATTATACATACCAGGCTGATGTCAAAGACGCTGCTTGGCCAAGGACAAATATATTTTATACCATATAATTAAATTAGTACATATCCCATTTGATCTTAATAAATAAATGCTAGAAACATAAAATCACACATAGTGATAGTGCACAAGTAAGAGCATGAGATTTCACATTAGTTTGTTCTGTTTAGGTTACTGCCTGTAGAGAAGTCTACAGGGTATTGCAGTGTTTAAAGAAAGAGAAGAAATCTACAACGAGTTAGTTAGATATATTGGTCTTCAATATTGGAAGGAAAAATTAAGATGATAACTTGGTGAAGAAAAAGAAAGCTGTAAGGGATGTATAATTATACGTGCCTTGCAAAAGCAATGGACTTCTGGGAAGTTTGTGCTATTATGTCCTGGTAGCTGACATAAGCTGCCTTTTGGTATATAAACATTAGGGGACAGCCTAATGTCAAAAAAAAAAATAACATTAGTACAGGCTTCCTACTAAGACAGTCGTGAACGTATGCAATGATTTTGCTATTTAGAATTTAACACCTCACCAATGCAAGATCAACCAGAGGAAATTCTGGGATAAAGATGCAGCGGTCCATCTCTCCTGGGTAAGCTCTTTGCATAGTGACTACACTGTTGAAAAATGATCACAGTAAAGACCCACTATAGTAGCAGAAGGAAATGACATGTCATTGAGGTAATTGTCAAAACATGTTTAAATCAATAATTCTTAAATTTTTCTAAAGACCTTGGAAGAGGTCAGATTTTAGAGTTGATATTTAAATTTAGAAGGTGAAATTCTTCAATAAATAAAATGCATATAGGTATTTGTAAGTAAAGGAGGTAAGATTTCCGAATATTTTGCTTACTACTTTTTCAAAATGATGTAGTAACTTGTGCAGCTGGAAAATGTTTCAAAAATCCTTTGGTTTTATTTTAGTTTATTCTGGACACTTAAAGGTTAAATGACCTTGAGAGAACAATAATCAAGTTTATATGGCAAAACAAAAAACCCAGGATAGCCAAAACAATCCTATACAATAAAAGTACTTCTGGAGGTATTACCATCCCTGACTTCAAACTCTGTTACAGAGCTACAGTAATGAAAACTGCTTGGTATTGGCACAAAAAACAGAGAAGCTGACCAATGGAATCGAATCAAAGACCCAGATATTAATCCACAAACTTATGAACACACGATTTTCGACAAACAGGGTAAATACACTCTTTAAAATATATATTCAATTTGAAAGACCAAAGTTAATTTCAAAATATCCTACACTTGTCTGTATAAACATGGGGGCTACTTTGTTTATTTATATGATGGATTAGACACTAAAACTCTAATTAACCCAATTAAAAAATGGGGTACTGAACTGAACAGAGAATTCACAACAGATGAACTTTGAATGACCAAAAGGCACTTAAGGTCATGCTCTACCTCCTTAGCAATCAGGCAAATGCAAATCAAAACAACTATGAGATACCATCTTACACCTGTCAGAATAGCCAAACTCAAAAACACCAATGATAGCCTATGCTGGAGAGAATGTGGAGTGAGGGGAACACTCATCCATTGTTGTTGGGAATACAAACTTGTGCAGCCACTGTGGAAATCAGTGTGGCAGTTTCTCAGGAAACTGGGAGTCAACCTCCCCCAGGACCCAGCAATTCCACTCTTGGGAATATACCCAAGAGATGCCCTATCATACTACAAAAGTATTTGTTCAACTATGTTCATAGCTGTACTATTTGTAATAGCCAGAACAAGGAAACAACCTAGGTGTCCCTCAATAGAAGAATGGTTAAAAACGGTGTGGAACATATACACATTAGAGTTTTACTCAGCGATAAAAAACAATGACATCTTGAATTTTGCATGCAAATGGATGGAAATAGAAAACGCTTTACTGAGTGAGGTAACCCAGACCCAAAAAGAGGAATATGGTATGTACTCACTCATAAGTGGATTTAGCCATAGTTAAAGGTCTTTGAGCCTATAATTCGTGATCCTAGAAACGCTAAATAAAAAGGTGAACCTGAAGAAA